CTGTGAGCTGTAATGCCACAGCACTCTACCCAGGGGGACAGCTTGAGGCTCTGTCTCAACAAACAAACAAACAGGCTCAGCGCCTATAGCTCAACCAGCTAAGGCGCCAGCCACGTACACCTGAACAACAAACAAACAAACAAACAAACAAACAAAAAAACCTAGCTTACTGTCCATCCTGTGGTCCATTAATTCATTCATCGAGTCATCAAGACCAAAAGCCTGGAAATCCAAAGTCAAAAGTCCAGTATCACCAGGACAACAGCTTGAGGCTCTGTCTCAAAACAAAAAAAAAAAAAAAAAAAAATCCTTTCATTTGTGATTGGTTAAAGAAATGAAGCTTTGTCTAAAGGTTTGGAATGTTTTAAATTAATTAAGGAAGTCTGGTTTTGTTTTGTTTGTTTTTTTTTTTGAGACTGAATCTTACTCTGTCACCTTGGGTAGAGTGTTGTGGTGTCATAGCTCACAGCAACCTCAAACTCTTGGGCTCAAAATACTCTCTTGCCTAAGTTTTTCTAGTAGCTGGGACTACAGGCATACACCATATGCCTGGCTAGTTTTTCTATTTTTAGTAGAGATGGGGGTCTCAGTCTTGTTCAAGCTGGGCTCAAACTCGTGAGCTCAGGTGATCCACCTGCCTTGGCCTCCCAGAGCTCTAGGATTACAGGTGTGAGCCACTGCACCCAGCCTTCATTTGATTTTTAAAAATATTGCATTAAAGTATTATTTATGTTGATTTGCTGAGTTTTCTGATGCCTGCTTAAATTTTGGACCTGTATATTTCCCAACTCCTTTCATTTATAATTCTTGTAATGGTATTAGAAGAATTATAATTAAAGTTCGATTTCTCCACTGGCTGGGTGCAGTGAATCAGGCCTGTAATCCTAGCACTCTGAGAGGCCAGAAGATGGCTTGAACTCAGGAGTCGGAGATTAGCCTGAGCAAGGGTGAGACTCACATCTCTATTGAAATAAGAAAACTGGCTGGGTACTGTGGTGAGCGCCTGTAGTCCCAGCTACCTGGGAGACTGGCAGGAGGATCACTCGAGCCCAAGAGTCTGAGGTTGCTGTGAGCTCAGCAGATGCCACTGCTCTGTAGCCTGGTCAACAGGTCTGTAACAGAATCAGGCTCTGTCTCAAAAAAAAAGAAAGAAGGAATGGTCTATTTCTTTTTCATTCACCTTTCCACAGAATGAGGGTTTCCCTTCTGTTCTCTAGGTAGACTTTACTACAACATTTATAGAGATTTGCAGCTTTTGCTCTGTTCTGCTCAGTACCTGAGTAAGACTGTGTAAAACCACTACCTTTGACGTGCCTTGGTTATTCTCTGAATACTTCCCCCATCAACCCTGCCCTAGCTCCATAGGAAGCAAAACCAGTTAATTCCCCCATTACCTGGCCTTGAGGAGCAGGGTAACACTGGGACATGCTCCCAGAACAGTTATGTTCTATAGGACCCCCAAATGCAGATTGTGAACCTTGGAAAGGAAGTCACAAATTCATTTTCACAGAGCAAGTCTCCCCTGCGCTCTCAGCCTTCCAAGTCCAGAGTCACTGTGACTCAGCAGAATCTGGGCCTAAAGGACTGCGGTCGTCCGCGTCCAGGCCTTTTCCCACCCCATCTCGTGCGAACGTCAGAAGGGAGTGAGCTACAGATCCTAGCAGATGGCCTTCTCCCCAAAGCCCACCCCACACGCCCGCCCCCGCGGGGACTTTTCTTAACTTCCACCCAGCGTCAGTGGGTGGAGTCTCTCCTGCAGTCTCCCCTTCTGCCAGGAACTGCAGCCTTGGTGTAGGGCCGCGCCCTTGCCGGCTGCCCGACTTTAGTGGGCTGGGCAAGGCAGGGTATAAAGGAGCGGGAGCTCTGCGAGCAGCACTTAGGACTCCTCTGTTTAAAGTCCGCATCGCTCAGCCCGGCACCTCGCCCAGGCCGCGATCGCCCCGACAACCACCAGCCCAACCAATCATCAACCTGACTGCGTCCGAGCCATGGCTGGTGAGTTCACCCCGGGGCAAGTCCCCTGCATCTTCAGAGCAAACCCTGGATTCTCCCGTGGAGGGTGCAGGGGCTTGGCCCTGAGTTTTTTTTCTGTGGCTCAAAATCTTAAAGGTGAAATGATTGGGGTCCTAGAAGAGCCTTGACCAAACTCTGGGATAGGGTCAGCTTCTGTTTCTACTTGGGAGTCTTGGAACCTCCCCCACCCCATCCTCACAAACTCAGATGGCCCTTTAGAAATTCCCTCCAAAACAGGGATCCAAAACTGACCGGCGGTGGGAGGCTGAATCTGGCCCACTGTCCATAAGTCTTTGGGCCTCATAATATTTGAAACATCTTGAAATAAGTTGCTAACATTTAAAATTAAAATACGGATTTCACTTAAAAATAGAGATTGCCAAAATTTTCTGGAGGAAAATTGGAAGATCTGGTGATTGATGGGCTGGAGCTGAGGAAGCTGCTGCCTTAGTTTGTAAATCTGTGAAAAAAAAAAAAAAAAAAGAGGGCAGCGCCTATGGCTTCGTGACTAGGGTGCTGGCTCCCCCATACTGAGGGTGGTGGGTTCGAACCTGGTCCCAGCCAAACTGCAACAAAAAAATAGCCAGGCATTGTGGCAGGCACCTGTAGTCCCAGCTACTGGAGAGGTTGAGGCAAGAGAATTGCCTAAGTCCAGGAGTTGGAGGTTGTGGTGAGCTGTGTGATGCCACGGCCCTCTACAGAGGGTGATAAAGTAAGACTGTGTCTCTACAAAAACAAAAAAAAATCTTTTACTGTGAAGGATATCTAGACATACTCCATCGTGAACCAAGCCAGGCATAGTGGTGCATGCCTATAGTCCCAGCTACTTGGGAGGTTGAGGCAGAAGAATTGCTTGAGCCCAAGTTTGAGGTTGCTGTGAGCTATGACACTACAGTACTCTATCCAGAGCAACAGAGTGAGACTGTCTCAAATAAATAAATAAATAATCATATGGTTTAAGACAGAGGACAGTATAATTTGAAAGGTTAGTAAAAACTCTTGGTTTCAGATTGGCCCAAGGTAGAAGGCAGAGGATAGCAGGAATGTTGGCATATAGATGAGGACAGAGCTCATGTATTAACACAGATGTGCTGACCTGTATTAGCTGTGGTCGTGTCCATTACATATACCCATCTAATGACATGCACGACAAGCAGAAATGTGTATTGAACTGGAGGTACTGAGAATCATTCCATTTGCCTTTCAAGACTCAGCTCAAGGGCGGTGCCTGTGGCTCAATGAGTAGGGTACTGGCCCCATATACCGAGGGTGGTGGGTTCGAACCCGCCCTGGCCAAACTGCAACAAAAAAATAGCCAGGTGTTGTGGTGGGCGCCTATAGTCCCAGCTACACGGGAGGCTGAGGCAAGAGAATCGCCTAAGCCCAGGAGTTGGAGGTTGCTGTGAGCTGTGTGATGCCACGGCACTCTACCGAGGGCAATAAGGTGAGATTCTGTCTCTTAAAAAAAAAAAA